ATACCCAAGCATGAGTACTCAAAGTCGTACTCAGAGTACTTGTTACTCACTCATGAGTACTCAGGTGAGTACTCAGTGAGTAAAAAAATGTATGAGTATGTATGAGTACTCGTCCGGTTTTTCTAGCGGAGTACTTTTTGAGTACTCACACTTGAGTACATTCACTAGGGCCATTTCATGTTTTCTTTTTGATGATCTATTAGAATTACTGAGTGTTACTAATCACTGGTGGATTTACGATGAGTACGGTCGAACCCATCGGGAGTGGGAAGGAGGTTGATCGCACCAACTTCATCTAATGAATCTATTACATTATTTTTGGTCGAGATAAGTTAGACGTCAAGACTGAGAGTAAAATTACATTGGAACTTTACAGTGATTGCCGACTTTTGTGCCTAATTTTCTTCACTTTGGCATCTAACTTATATCGATCATTATTTTCACCGATGCTCATGTGGTATACCGCAATAAAAGATACAAACTAAACGATACTTTCCCTTATATATGAATACGGGCGTTGTACTGTATAAACTCTGTTTCTCACTGGTCTTCTTCCAATCTCATGTCTTTAAACGTTTCTAAATGTTCTTGGCGTCCTTTCTCTTTCAACCTCTTTTCGTATGTTTATAATCAATTGTATCTCAATAGTGCTCCTCTCTCGGTTGTGTCTTCTGTTTGTTGTCTTGGTGTTCTTGTTTCGCATGATCTTAGGTGTAATGGTCATGCCAAGGATATTGCTCTTGCTTGTCGGCGCAAGCCTGAAGCATTGAATCATGTCTTTGGATTAGCTCCAACTGAAGTTTGACGTCGAATCTATCTTTCTCCTATCCTTCATAAAATTGACTATTGCTGTGACTTGTATGACAGTTCGTTTTCTCTTACTGTTCTTCTAGTTCTCTACTAGCGTTTCAACTTTCTCTTCCAAATCTCTTTCTTCGTCGAAAATACTTTAGACTTCTACAGTTTTTCAAAATTTATCATCGTCGAAGTCCTGTTTCTCTCTTTTATACTATTAATCGTCCTCACTACTCATCTTTACGTCTTCATCACGCTAAATGTATTCGCATTCCATCTTCTCCTGATAGTTTTTCTCCACAAACGATGCATTCTTCTTTTTTTTATTTAACTACTGCTCATTGGAATAAATCTCCCAGAGTCAGTTATTCTTCTTTCTTCTTTAATGTCTTTCAAAACAGCTTACTTCAGTATCTCTTCCAGTGAAACGTTTGTCAGTTAAGAATTTATATTTGTTCTTTTTTGTTTATGTTTTTAAAAAATTTTTTTTACTACTTCTGGTTTTAGTTGTCTTCTTTACTTTATTCTTTTTTATTACTCTTTTTGGCTTGAGTCATTGTTATTACAGGTCGGTGATCTTTGATGACTCTCACTTTTCGTGAATAAAACAGTCTTAGTTTTAGTCTTAGCAGACAATTATTGGACAATAAAATAGAATTCCATTCTGTCGATATCGATATAATATTAATATATTATATCGACAGAACACAAAGCCTGCCGTATTCTGGATGCGCCACTGATATGTCGCTGAAGTCGTTATGATGACTCATTCAGCTACTGAATTTGATTCCATTGGATGAAAGTTTCAAATTTGAACAGAAGAATAAATGGGATTTTTGTTTATGTTTTCATTTTTTTCAATACTTACCAAACACAAACTTTTATTAATGAAAGATGAAACTCTAGAATCAAACTCTTCAAGATCTCGATGCGAATGGTTTTAATCTTTATGCTAATACTGGTGGAGTGTTGTGGGAAAAGTTCATTCTGTTTTGAGGCGAATAAGGGTTCTTCTACAGATTGGATCAGTCGTACCCCGTGATGTGTGTGATCAATCTGTAGAAGTACCTGAATAAGACTATACATTGGATTTTCATACATTTGTGCTTGCAGCGTGTTAGCCTCTTTATCCTTGGATTTTCTCCTTTTTCTGATAAAATATGGAATATTTTTTAATCCTATTTATTAACCATCTCATTTAACGTAAAAAGCAACGTATTCTATAGCACATCGATATCATAGATAATATAGATAATGTCAGATCTCGTTTAAATTTTTGTATAGTGTTGCGTAAATTTATTCGACTGATTTCATCCTGTTTACACAAACATATTTAATATAATTCAAAACTTCTTGATGTTAGTACTGTTTTTCGTTGTTTTAGTTTCAATAAATGTCAATGTTAACTTCTAACGGTTCTATCTGGATATTAACGCAAAATCGTCATGATTTGAATATTATTATAAGATGTTTAAAACAATGTTTGCGTAAAGAAGATGATGAAAAATTATAGCGTACAAGAATGCATAAATAGCGTAGTAAAATTACATTTTCTACAGTTCTTGAAACTACATGTTGCACAACACATTGAAATGTATCTTGGAACAATAGTTTTGGAACTTATATTACGATATTTTTATGTATTACAATTATACTGCTGATCCCATTGTTGGATGCTAATAAGTGTGATTAATTGACAAAATGTTTATTATTAACTTTCTTGAAATCAAATACACATATCGAATATGGCCATTATCAAGAACTATTTTCATCCACTATCACAGGTTGAATTAGTCTGTTTGTATATCGACCGATAAACAACAATAGTCTTTTTTAATCGATCATTCAAGAAATATTACAACAAAGACTAATAACATTTATGCATAGTGTATTCTGTTGGGTACAACTGATCGTTACTAAACTATGTCAAAAATTTTGATGACATCTGGTCTGATATTAAAAAATAACTAAATACGGTTTTATCTACACATTTGTTATATATGATTTCGTTATTTTCGATATGACTATATCCATCGATTCATCTGTTTTAAACATATTTTGGAGTTTTAGTTTTATTATTTATTATTGGTAGAGCACACACCTATCGACCTTTATGTTTTTATTTAATTATTTAAACAATCTTTTCTGTTTTTATTTTTTTACTCGACTACCATTTAAGAACACTAACTAACCTCATTTTTATTTTTGTACAATTTATCAAAATAAAAGGTACACATACATATATTACGGAAAAACGAATTTAGAATGATTCATGTGTAACAAAAGGTAAACGATGATCAGAAGTGGCCAAATGACGGGTGAAAAGGTTCGAGTAGGTAGGTGATATAAATAGAAATACCGTTTTTGCCTATCTCTAATGGACGTATTGGCAAGGATGTTTGACTGTTGTTGTTCTGATTAGTATATTTATTATTTGAACTTCTAGTCTGATGACAAAAAGTTAGTCAAATTTTTAAATTATAGAAAGAGTTTTTTGTGTAATTGTAAGTCAAATCAGGTGCCAAGACACAAACTCAGTAAATGAACAGCTTTTAGTTTTAATCGGGTTTACAGCATCATTTCATAGATGAAACATTTGCTTGGATTTTTCTCCTTTTTTCCATCGGTTAGCTTATCAGCATATAGTATTGCTCAGTCGCTATGAAAAATACAATAGAACGAAAGAAGAAAAAATAATTTTATCTTTAATTTCATCTTTTCGTGATAAGAATGATGAGTCATCTTTCTTTATATTTATATATTTTAAATATAAATACTAGACATTTTTTGCGTTAGCCGAGACGTAATTGTATGAGCAAGAGAAGCCTATAATGTAATATCTGACGTAATTTGTTACAGATTTTACGGAGAACGGACTGTAATATCTTATTCATTCGATTGCATGTGAAGATTTTTTTATTTTGTGCTTGTACTGTCAACTTTTCAATATTTCATAACATAACTGTGATACTAACTTGTTTGTCTAAGAAGACTACTACCACTATCGTTGAAAGTTTTAAGTATAATACGAAAGGCATATCAGTTAATCTCTCTAAATATAAATTTTTATACAGTTAAATTCCGAGTTGATGATAAATCTAAATGTAAGAATTTGTTATTTTATTTATAGATTTTTATATTAATTTTAATTATTTATAAATTGACAAAATTTAACAATGACAAGAGCTAAACGACAATTGTTTGGTGGTGCTATTCAAGCATTTTTACCTGATACAGCAGTTGATGCAAGGTGAGAATGAACGATGAATTGTATTAGAATAGATCATGTATGTTTAGATATTTTTTTAGTGTAGTTCGACATGTACCTGATAACCAAGAAGTGTTTGTTCACACATCATCTGATCAAAGTTTAATAATAGAAATATTGGAGCAAGCCAATGTTGATGATTCAAACGCCATTAAGTTAGTGTGCAGGTCATTATAATCAGAACATTTGTCATAATATTCATTTTTAGATATCACTTTGACGCATTAGCTGAAGCAAACGATGCCAGTAATGCGAATGATCATATTACAGACAAAATCGAACAAATACCAAATAATTCTTTAACTGTACAAAGGTAAAACGAATTTTTTATAAATTATTTAATTTACAATCAACTTCTGGAGTAAAATACAACAGAAAACTGTATCATATAATTCATACATGAACCGACAGCTGAGCGGCCGACATTTGACGCTTTTCACTACAACGTCTCGTTAGATCATAATCGAATAGATTCTGCGCTTCACATGGGGAGCAGAGGTAGCGAGAATGAGTCTATAAAAAAAGAATAATTTATAAAACTGAACATCTGTGAGATGAAACTTAGTCATAACAACAAAATATTATCATTACAAGAACATATACAAAGTGATTCTAAACAACTACAGTTGAAGGAAGTAAATGAGTTAAAGAAAGCTCAAAATTGTGGCAGAATGTATGGAAACAGTTGCATAAGAGATCGCTCATACGATGAGGTCACTCAATTGTCGGTTAATCTAATTTATGAAATGTGTATCAAGCGTTCTAGTTGTTCTTTATACAACTTTGATATCATAGAAAAAATAAGAAGGTTGATGTCAGATAAAAAGATTAAAAATGAATATGAACATTGATATTTTTCTCAACTATCTTTGTAGTTTGAATAGTTGCTATACCTCGTCTATAACATAATCTTCTTTCATTCTAGAGTATCGACAGCTTACTATCTATTTGGTCGTCAAAAGATATCAAAATATAATGAACAAGCCAAAAATCTTGTTAGCCTTCATTTATGTTTACTACGCTTAAATGAATTGAATACCGATATTCTAATATCATTCAATGATCCACTTTTTGTCAAGTAAGATGTTGTTTTATTTTTTATTCCAGTATTATATTTATCATTTTTCTCGATATTTCAGTGAAGATAGTAGTAGTCATGCAACGATTGACTCAGCATCATCAAATAATCGTTGGACATTTACAGATTTTCAAAATTTTTATCAATCATTCGAAATTGTTGATTTTGGACTATTTACACCACAACAACAAGATATTGAAATGAACTAAATTATCTTACACGTTTTATTTTTGTTTACTTTATTTTTGAAAAAGTTTTTTGCTGAACGAGTACTTGTAAATGATAGCAATTGTATAGGATTCGATATCGATCTTTTCTTTGGAGGAAAGAAGTACAATGTCAACTTATATTCGGAACGATCAGTTACTGTCTGGTATTAACTATACTACAAAATTCTAACAAGTTGATTGTAATCGTGTTCCACATAAGTTGTGAATGATGTTTTTAAGCGATCTACGAACTTAATGATCTCGGTGTACCTATAAGAATTCTATAGATACAGTATACCGACACAGGAGATAAAATAAATCACTATAACTACTTGACAATCCATTTATCTGAAAAATCTATTGTAGAATTTTTGGAAAAAATTGTCATTGTTAATTAAACCGAAAAACTTCGACTGATATTTGTTTTACTCAAAACTTAATTGTTTAATACATGGCTCCGTTTGACGAGTTGATCATAAATAATTGTTTATTTTCTTTATAAAAGTTTTAAGGGCTGAGGGAGATATAAATGTTATGATAGATGTTACGCCCAAAATTAACAGTTTTTCATATACTATAAACAAAATGTGGCAACAAGTATGCACAGAATATTGATGTTTTATGTGTATAAGAATATTTGTGCAAATTTTGAACCAGGACGAACGTCCAAAAATTTTGTGAGTTGACTGTTAATAATCAGTAAAATACAGCTATTTTACGGGCGAGATTGTTTTTTATTGTTGAAAATTTGAGGCTCTTTGCGAAAAAACTTCACAACTCCATCTAGGAGCAGCATTTTGACTTCAAATTCGCACCAAAGACTCTACAGTGTCTATAGATTATCCAGCCAAAGTAGGAAGGTTAACTATTGTGCGATTCTGGAAATCCATTTAGGACGAGCACCCATGATTAAAACATACGTAGAAGAGCGAGGGTGATGAACTACGGGTCGCTCTTTGTACTATAGTATTTGCCTTGAATGTACATCATAATCATGAAAAAATAATCATGGAAACCTATGATTCCGAAAACGTAGGTGAAACTTTTGTCAGAAAGATTACACACTTACCTCTAGCCTTCGCTATTTCACTTATTTTGCGTCCTTTTCACTCCCCATATATTTTCAAGCCAAAACTAATAACATATTTGAGATCAGCAGACAAAACTGGATCATTCATTTCATTGAATAAGCAAAACGTAATATTTCCGAAAGCTATTTAGACTGCAAAATCTCAGGACGAGAATTCGCGTCGCTCGTACTCGAAAGGTTAAAGTTACAAAAAAAAATGTAAAACTGACATTTATCGAATTTCTACAAATTTTTTTCATCATGAGTTTTCGCAACATTACAGTGGATATTAAAATCTATTTTAATAGGAAAAGATAGTTAAGAGATCAAAGTGCATTATTCGTTATTCGACAATAAAAAATATTTATTTTCAGTTTTTTATCATTGCCTACTATGACTATGGTTCGAATCTGAACAGATATGAGTTTAAAAAATCTAGATGGATCTAGGTCTAATCCATTGTCATCCTACACTATAAAAAGTTGTTATCTCATTCAAAGACTAATACTAAAACATCTAGACACCCACAGACATCTACTTCTACGCTGGAGAAGTTTCGTTTTGTAGACAAATAATGTTATTTTGATAGCGCAGAGCTGGGTTTTTTAGTTTCATTTAGGAAGATAAGGAAAACTAACGATCTGCGAAAAAGTTGAAATAAGCGTTTAGGGGTTTTAACAAAAAAAAGTTTCGCGTTATTATTTATCCTAAACATCAAAATTCGCCTTTGTACTACCGCCACAGCGACAAAATTTCTCTACAAAATGACACTATTATGAGCTTCTCCATAGCACTTAAAATGAGTAAAAAAATTTGATTACTATACTTTAACATGGTCATCATTCGATGAAAGTTTGATTTAAATCGGATCGATAGTTAATGAAATAGATTTCTGGAAGGAGAAACTCTTAAAATGTAGTTTCAGATTATTATATTTTATCTTAATCATAATTACACAATTAAGACTATGATCTAGTGCTTCATCCTTGTTTTGTCTAATTAATACTGAACAGAAGATTCTTGTTTTTGTTAAATTGTAATTATGTCTATTATTTAATTGTTCAATGATATAGTATAGAAGATACCTGACTATTGTACAAACCCATTTTAATGTTATAAATAATTATGCGGAAAAGTCTATCCCAAATGTAACAAACAAACGAAAAAATACATTGCATTAAAATGGAATTTATGTTAGTGGAGAAACGAAAAAGAAAAAATGATTATTTCTATAGAAAAAAGCTGAAATGTATTATTTGCATATTTGAAATACATTCAAAAAAAAATACTACTCATAATCCACAAGTTTTAACGATTTTTTATTATGATTCTTCTCTTGTATTCTGTGTCGAGAAGAAGGTGGAGTTGCTGATCGAGATGAACTAGACGATCGATGTTTTGGACGATTCTTTTTTTTATTCGTTTTACGCTGTGGTGATGGCGACTTTGAATCTGTAGAGGATGTGGTCGATGAATGTTTTCGTTTTCTTTGAAATTTTTGTTTTTGTGATGTAGGTGACGGTGATAAAGATGATGAACGAGAACGAGTACGAGAACGATTTTCTTTTTTCGTAGTTGATGAGGAAACGCGTGAATGTGGATTTGATCGTACAACACGGTTAAAAAATGGTGAATTAGCAAAAATTTCAGAATAGTTATGTGATGTTGAAGATGAAGACGGGTGAGAACGATCATGACGAGATGTAATTGGAAATGGTGGCGGAGAAGGTGTACGCGTGCGCTCCGCACGCGATTCATTGTGGTTATTGTAACGACTTTTATCTGATTGACTTGAACTAAAAAAGGAGAGAATATATAAAATAATAAATTTAAGGTGAATATACTGAAATAAAAATCAATTAAGATACCATTTGAGTCAACACTATGGCACAGTGGGCATTTTTCTATAGATCAGGCAGACATGTGTTTGTTTTTAATTCAGAAAGAGTCTCTTTTTGCTCAATACTACTTTATTACGTTTGAAATGTTATTATAACTTTAAAAAACCAGAGTTTAGATGAACCCTTGCCCTAAATTTTTGTCGAAAAACTTTTTATTCAAAAAAATGAACAAGTTCTACGTCATTCGATGTAGTTTTATGCGCTGATGCCAAATATCACATTGCTTTTTTTTAATACAAATGTTCTTGGTCTGAGAAAAACGCATTTTACCTAAAAAAACAAGGATTTTTAGAAAACCTATATCTCCTGAAGAAAAATTGCATAAATTTGCATTCATCATAGATGCATGACATGTTAACGAACATTTCGGTTTAATTTTGAGTCAAATTGGAGCTGAGGAAAATTGTGGAAACTCATTACATTCGAGGTGCCTTTTCAGAAACACAATTAGTTCGGAAAAATAATTTATTTCTAGTATGCCAAATGTTCAGGAAAACTACAGTTTTGATAGATCGATAGCTAACGATGTCTAGATTTACAATATGTATAGTTTTTATCTTAAAACGGCTTAGTCTGTTAGAAAAAACGTTTTAGGTCGCTAGTGTTTAGCCTATTTTTTTTGTTGATACATTTTTTCCAAAAATTAGTGCCTTTAGAACGAAAACTTTTATACCATGAAATAGCCCGTCAATCGAAATATATTTACAACTACTTGAATTTCGAAAAAATGTACTTTCGATTTTTTGCTAAATGTCCACCTGGATGCCTGCTGTGTATGGATACTAGTCAAATCACAGATAGGATTACAAAAACAATGTAAAACGATTGAAACTCACTTTAGATAAAAATCTTAAACAACTTTTCCTTCTTTCTATCCTGTCTAATCAGTGATTTGGTGAGAAACATGGATCACTTATAGAAGAATTGGTCTCTGACTGTACATTTAAATAAGATTGCGAACAAACCTTCTTGATCTTGATCTTGTTCTACTTTTACTTCGTTCATTATCATCTGAATCACTTCTGTTTGATGATCGATACCGTTTATCCCGATCACGTTTTCTTAATTGAGTTGATAAATGTCTTAATTCTGCTTCACGTGCCTAGATGAAAAAATAAGGTATTTCTAAAAGTACATGGCTTAATTTTACGTCAATCTTACCATTCGTTCTTTTTCTTCTCGTTCTTCTCTTTCCCGTTGCACTTCTTTATCTTTTTTAACTAAAATATAGACAAAAATGATGAAAAGAAGAAATAGTACAAGAAGGTTTTTTGTTTTACATTGTTTTTTCAATAATGTTTGCATTCGTCGACGTAATTTTTCCTGATGTACTTTGAATTCATTTGGTTTATTAAATGATTCATTCTAAAAACATAGAGGTATAATTGTTTTTCCTTAAATCAAATCTGTAGTATTTTTGAATGTATCTGGTGTAACGACAGAATAAAGAATTAATTTTTTAGACAATTAATAACAAAAAATTAATTTATCACTGACTTTGATGTTGGGTTCATTGCTGCTCTTACTCTTCGTATCAATTCCGTCTTTCCTAAATACATACAAACACAAAAATCGTGAGTGTTTATTGAAGTTTTCTCCATAGTAGTCAAATACAGTTATGGAATCATTAGGTTGGCCAAAAAGTTCTGCAACACTTGCGAAAAAGTTGATATTTGCAAGTGTTGCAGAACTTTTTGGCCAACCTAATAGAATGTCAAGCAAACAGGTTTAATAAAGAAGATCAAAGAAATTCTAATACATGGGAAAAAATGTATTGAAACTTGAACTGATTAAAATGATTATATTTTAGTGATTGTAACACTTACTTTCTTGCTTCTTTTCGTTTGAGATATTGTTTCAATGCTTGTTCATCTGAATTTCGATCATCGTCATCACTTGGATCGCTGTCACTTTTACTATCATTTGTATCTAGTTGATAACTATTACTTTCATATAAGGATTTATTTTTGATTTTTATGGTAGGAGAAGTTGTTCGATTCAAATCTGGAGATGATGTTAAATTTGGCAAAAATTGATTGCGTTTGGTAGTTGTGGTACTCAATGTATCATCGAGATCATCAGTCAGCGTTAAGACACTAAATAGAAAAGTATACATCAGAAAAAAAGAAACTTCTCTACGTTTTGTATAAAATATTTAGTGATATTCAAATAGTTCACTATAAGTTCGAAAAGACTCCACTATGACGAATTAAAGTTATCCTATGCATACTTACACTGATATCATTAGAGTTGACCGATTTTTTAGATGCGCTCTACATGGTTTAGTCTACATATAATCTGTTAACTGAAAGATTAGAAATCCAGAATATTTTCTAAAAAGAAAACGCGATTCCCCGTAACGCCTAGTTTCTCGCAGTTTTAAACTCCACCGCAAGAAACTAGGCGTTACGAGGGGTCGCGTTTTCTTTTTAGAAAATACTCATGAGTTAAGATCTAGTACAAAATATATTGGAAAAGATCATTTTAAATTCTTGTTTTCTGATTTCGATTGTTCTGTAATTTAACAGTTAACAAAAATTTGCTCTACTTACGGTGATGTATCTTTTAATTTTTGTAATGTTGACAGTCTCTCACGAAGATCATCATTTTTCTTTGCCAAATGAGGTATTATCACAGGTGGTAATCTAAATAAAAACAAAATGGTAAAAAATTAAAAAGGCCGCATATTTTCTATCATATTTTAAGTTAAAAATTACATACACAACTGGTGTAGTTGATAAAACTGGTTTGGGAGGAGGCGGTGGCGTTGGTTCTAGTTTTTGTTTAACTTGCAGACATTCTTCAATTAACGATTTACTTATTGGTTTCGATGTTCGCTTTTTATTATCGTCTTTGACATTAATTTTAATCGCTGAAGATTTAGATTTCGGTGTTGTTGTAGAAGATGATCGTTTACTTGCACGAGGTGAACCATTTTGATGTCGCTGTTTTTGTTGTTCATCGTCACTACCACCAAATGCTGTTATGAATTGAATTTTTTCTTTTACAGGTGGACCGACAGGCGATTGTGAACGAGATTTCGAACGAGATTTTTGATCACGAAGTGTCGATTCATATGGATTATGTTTGGGTAATTCACGTGCCATATAACTAATAGTATAACAAAAATAGAACATGAATGTATAAATGATTGTTAGATGCGCCTACCTCGGTGGACTGAAGTCTCGTTCACGAAGGCGTTTCTCTTTCGCCAAACGACGTTCACGTCTAGCTTTACGACCCTAGAAAATGATAGGCAACAAAAAAAATCTAGTTAGAAAAGAAGAAAAAGCTTTTAGCTATAAGATGCAACAAATAGGATAGAAAAGTTTCCACCTACATCGATTTTTTGAACGCAAAAACAAAACAAAAAAACTCACACATCCAGTTCTAAGAATCGATAATTGTCCGAAGTCAACTAGCAAAGGTTAATAACGGTATATCGATTTTAGGACGCAACGCCATTAAGATATCAAAATTCGTTTGAATACATAACCAGATTCATCAATGTATCTTTCATCATTTAAACGCATACACTCCAAAAGAGAATGTTTTCAAATCGTTCAAGTATTTCAAGATATAACCATTCTATTACTTTGACTATTGACAGGTGGAGGGTGAGTGTGTGGTGTCGCTGCCTCCTATCGTTGTACGCTCTAGCGTAACGGTATGGGAATCGTTGATAACAGGGATAGAAATAATACTGATGAATTTTTGATTATATTAATAAGAAATGAAAATTTATCTCGAATAATTAATCAAAAATCAAATCATAGTTGCCATTAACCAAAGAAACCACAAGACTTTCAGATTTCATATTTTCGGACAAATCGAATGTTGTAGTTGTGTGTAGAAATGATACACACTTATCTCCTTCAATTAACAGATACTCACAGAGCATCGTACATCATCTTTTCTGAATATGACTTTGTGATATTTTCACATATAGATAAATTAATACTTTACCTTTACTGAAAATTGTTGTTTTTCTTGCTCAATAAGTTTATTTTCGCGTATGATTTCTAATTCCTCTTTATCCAATATTAACATACTAAATAACAAAATATAGATTATCTTTATTCTGTACTTATCGTGTAAAGTTATTTTCAACTAAATAATACAGAGTAAATAGTTATACTAACCGTACAAAATCTCCAAATTCCATTCCATAACTCATTGCACATTTATTAAATATTGCTTTACTATCACTTGTTAATTGATCAACATCAATTTGTAAATCTATTTAATTAAATAGGCATACGTTATTTCAAAAAGAAATGATAAAAGATAAAATCATTACCTAAATCGAATGTATCATCTTCATCTTCTGAATCTGTGTCATTATCTCCAGCTAACATTGTTGAATGCTGAGGTTGTTTCTTTGATGTTGATGGTATAGCAGAATCGTCATAAAGAAATCCAATTTCTGCTTTCTTTTCATTTGGTCTAGCAAAAACAACAGACTTAACATGCGTATAAAAAACTAAAACATACGAATTTACTTCTTCTTTTCCACATACGGATGTACATCCTCTCTAACACCAAATTTTTCATCTAGTTCAATTTCACGTAATGTTTGCTCTTCGGAAACTATAATAAAATATATTATTTACATTAGTGAACATGTTTACATAAGGAAAACATTCATACCTCCCGCCGCTTCATATTGTACTAATACTCGATATCGTTCATAATTACACATTCGCTCTTCATTTCGTTCGGCTTCAGACAATCTAGAAAATTAAAATTAGATATTGACAATAGGCATCTATAATATCATAAATATCCTAAAGTAAAAAGAATTCGAATAGCAATAAAACAATACTATTTTTTTTTTCTCTAATAAAATATTTTTACTACAGTAGTCTTTTCACAGATGAGTTAATAAATGAAAACATATACCGACTCGTTTGCTTCTTTAGCATTAGATATGTTTAGATTCATTTCATCGATAATATCCAAATGAGCGCGAACATCAAAGCGATCGATTATTGTATTTGGATCATCACGCCATGGTGTCCTAAATATATTAAAACTTTTTTGAGTAAAAATAAACGTGTTTTTGACAAGTAAAAGTTCTAAGATTGATTAAATAATGTTTCAAATACATTTTCGTTTCCATCTTCTCGAAAGTATCAATGATGGGTTTTCTAACTATAAAAAAATGGCGAAATAGTTTAACTTACATTGTCGATGGATTATCGCCAGCAGCTGCAACAGCTTGATCAAAATGTATCTTGCACGGTCGCCCCCATATTTGTAAAAATTCAGCTGGGTCACGTTTCTAAAAACAAAACAAAAAATAGCAGGTCGTTAGCCAAAGCGCTGTTGACTCAGAAATATTTTCTACATACAATTTTTTCATAATATTCTTTGCGTCGTTCTGAACGTTTTTTATAATCGACCATAATTCCTCGTAGTTTTTTCTCATGTTTTCGAATTTCATGCCACATGACCATTTGTGTGACAGTTTTACAATGAAAAAAAAATCTAAAACACACATAAGTTTCAGAAAAAAGAAATTTTTTCAATATTAAATACATTATTACAGCGAAATGTTAGTTTCTAGATTTGTATTGTCCAAGTAGAATACAAACCAGTCCAGACCGCATCCATTCGAAAAAGCTTTTCAGATGACGTCCATGGGCTTAAATTTTAGGACTGTTACTATTCTTAGAAATCACCCAAGTTCTTTATAAAAAGAGCTGGGCTTGGCTAAGCGTGAAACAACGATCTTGGAATTGAAATAGAGCCAGACAGGAGAACGAAATTATTATAGAACAGCCACAGACTACTAAGTGATATCCAAAGGTGAGTTTTATTTTGGTGATGTTAAATCTCTCTGTTACATCCGGGATGTTACACATAAAGAATGAACACTGTCAGTTACTAAATTATCATCATTCTCATACGCCTAAAGAACTATGTAAATTGGTTTAGCTGATCGTAAGGACTAGATGCTCGATTTTCATTTCTATCCATATTCGTTAGACACACACTGATTAATGACTCCTCGACTCGAACGCGTCCACGTCTTAACCCAAGTCCATTCCAAAATTTGTAGGTCACTGAGCTCAAACGAGGTTAACGCAGTGATAAGACGTCTGTCGTAAGTGTTATAGGGACAAAAGCCTCCATGTGGACATTTAGAGAGAGCACTCGATTAACTTCAACTATCAAAGTTTTCACTTTACACAGACCAAGCAAGTCTAAGAAAATGTTAAGTGTTAGACTTTATCATCTACACTCTCAAAAGAGCATGGACAAGAAAAGCAGGATTATAGTAAAATAATGTTTATAGACCCCAAGAATAAGCTTTATTATTTTCTTTTTCGAAAAACTGAGAAAATATGAAAAAAGAATTTATTGAATTGTGAATAAAACGGAATAAAATATTGTGTAAAAAAAACTCAAAATATATTAGTAAAAAATGGACGGATTATTTAATATTGTACGATTTGTACAACGATTCTATAAACTTGATTGTTGTTTTTTCATCAATGCTCGCATTTGACCTAATTGATTTAAAAATTTAATCATGAGTGCTTGATCTTCGTCGATTTCTGTTAACTGATTGTCCGTTATTCGGCTCATTGTTTCAGTGACCTAAAACAAAAAAAAACGCAAAATAAATCAAGGGTGAAAATATGAATAATTTCTTTCTCGATATAAATTAAACTACATTCTCTCGATTTACATGAACATGAACTAAATGTGTAAAAGACACACGAAGATCATTAAAATGTTACTATCGTTTCGTTTCTATATTGCATTACCTTGGTATAATCTCTTGATAAAAAGTGTAAGATTGAAATAGCATGATTTATTTTATTTAATTCAAGTTGATCAGGTTGTTTTATTGATGTTTCTTGACGATAAGACAATAAAGTTTGTAATGTTATATGAGCTTCGGCTTCTGTTGATAAATCTAAATCATAATATTCAGGTTTAGTGTCAAATAACAACAAACACCGCCGAAAAATGTCGAATTGTCAATGCTCAGATATACGAAACATGTCTATTATTTATAAAAAAAATTTCTTACCTAATTTTGCCGATGACGGTACTTCCTCTTCTTCTTTTTTTCCAAGAATCTGATCCATATCTGTCCAAACTACTCTCGATTCTAACAATTTTCGTAAATGTGTATACCACATATCACTAACTTGTTTGTAGAGAGAATCAGTTACTTCTAATTTATTCAATAATTTAAATACTTTGCCCAACAGAAAATATCCACCAGCAACTTTGTGATGTTCGGTACCGTAATATGTTGATGCATCATAAACCTAAACAAAACACCAAAAAAGAGATCATCTCACTTTTCTTACATCGGTAGAGATGTCTCGCACAATTCAGATTCTAAAAGTTCGATCACCTTCAGATAAAAAAAGTTAAAAAAAATTGAAACTTTTGTATTTTTAAACGTCATCCTTATCTAGAACGCAACATGGTAGGAAAAGAATGCGTACATCATTAGCTAAATTTCTTAATGCTTCTTCATAGTCTTTTCGAGCGATGTTTAGTTGAGCAAGATTTCGGTATAATTTTGATGTAATGTATAATGGAGGATTGGGATTTTGTAACACTGTATATTGAGCTTGAGATAAATATTCCCAACACTGACCTAAATGCTTTAAGCCTAAACAAAACAGAGAAAAAAAAAGTATACTAAATGCAGTTAAAAACGCTAAAAAGATTAACTATCTCTTGTTCGTACTTCCACTTCATTTCCATTCACGCGTTATTACACTGATTCACTTCTTTTCTGACTGATTTCTGAGCATATTCACACAAATCTGGCATGCCCTCTTTCAACATAGAAAAAAGATTTCAACAATATGTACCTAAACTAGCTTCAGCTAATATCAAATAGGACGGAATAAGATCAACACTTTTCGGACCATAAACATCAACAGCTAATTTTAAGCTACTTAACGCAGCAGGTATAGCTTGTTCATATCTTTCTTGAAACAAATGACGTTGGCCAATCATACGAGTCATTTCCATCAGATTAATCTACACAAAGCAATTCGAACATTAGTGATCTAGGTAACAACTTTCCACACCATAGTTCTTGTTAACAAACGAGAATACTAAGGGGTTCTTCAGGAGAAATTGCCCTCTTGGTATTTTCTTCTTTTCTTCTATCGATTTGAGCTCCTAAAAAAGATGCGCCTTGAAATACTCTACAAAATCATACATAAACTATAATTTCAGAATTTCAATCAAGAAAACTAAGCCAATTAGATGAAAGTCGAAAAAATGAAAACTTTCCAAACCCAAAATTTTTTTCTATTTGAACTTTTTCTTCTGCTACTAATTCCACTAAAAAGTGTGGCAAAAGTGAGAACTCAGTTTGTGTTTGCTACTTTCAAATGTGCTCTTTCTCGTGGTCTATAAAAAAACTTTTTTAGAGCAGATGGAGTGCTAGAGAACTTTTACTCAAAGCATTACTATACTCAAAATTTAAAAAATTAATGAAAAAATGCATGACAACCGACAGAAAAACTATTATTCCGCCGTGGCTTTTGACATGAAAAAATTTGAAGCGTAGCTAAAAAATAGAGTGAAGTCAGGGCTACAAAATGGCTAATTCGATTTTTCTTACTTTCAAAACGTTAACACAAGAAATCATCATTTTTTGAATTTGTAAAGTTTTCAGTTTTTTCGACTTTCATCTAATTGGCTTAGTTTTCTTGATTGAAGTTCTGAAATTATAGTTTATGTATGATTTTGTAGAGTATTTCCAGGCGCATCATTTGCAAAAAGAAGTAGCTTAAATCGATAGAAGAAAAGGGAGAAAAGACGAAAATACCAAGAGGACGATTTCTTCTGAAGTACCCATTAACTAACCAAAAATGGATTATTTTCTTACTTTCCTTTCTCGTGTTTCTCGGTCTTTTTCTCGTCGTTCTTCTTCAGATAATAAGAATACTTGTTTTTTGCGTAAGTCTTCAAGACTTTTACAAATTTTTTCATGGATACCGTTCCAGTCGGTAGTTTGATGTTCTTCAGAGCTAAACAGAAAGAGAGATAGTACAAAACAGATTTTGAACTCAAAAACATATAATTTACCAATAATAAGTACAATGACATTTTTTACAAACACGATTAGCAGGTTTATCACAGATTTCACATTTATAACTGGTATTTTTTGGAAATGCGAGAGGATATACAATTTCTGCCGTAACCATTTTTTATTTTATGTAAAATTACAGTTTAATTTCAACTAGACTTTATCATTCAAAACAAAGTCGATTCTTATGCGTTAGAAATTGACCAGCAATCAATCGTAAAAACAAAGCACTTCTATTTTTGAAATTATTGATTAGAGAGGAGTGATTCTACTCTTGCTTTCTTGAGTATGCGTTAATCCTCAGTTGTAATTAGGATTAAACATATAATTATACAAAGTACTTTTTATTGTATTATATTTATGATTATTTTTGTTTTCCTTCGAGACCAAATCAAAGAACTTCTATTCGTTCATCTTTAGTACAATTGATTAATCTAGCCTGTTCAATGCATGAATGCAGTTTCATAGAGGTTGCACCAAACCATATTATTTGTGAACTGTCGAAGAAACAAAATGATACAAAATATAAACAAAAAGCATGATACGAAACAGTTGATAAAAGCCCATTCAACAAACTTGCTATTCTGCTTTGGCACGTAACGGTCCCCTGCGGTGTTGAAGTCTCCAACGTCATTTTTTTCTTAAATCACCTTCAAAAGCACATCACTAATCACAGATTTTTGCGCTGATTCCGAATATCGATTTTAAAATGAATGAAAATTGAATTTTTGGTTTGATTTTTTTCTAATTAAAAATTTTGAAAACAAGTTTGCTGGATAGAGAATTGAAATCGCTACAAACTGCATTACTTTTTGGAATGTGTAACGTTCGGAACATTGCTTTATAGGGAAAACGAATTTTTCACAAACAAGTTTTGGTACATTTTTTTAAGATTTAAGGTTTAAAGAAGTTCTTTTAGGTTTTTTTCCCGATAGCAGAATGATTCTATGTGATATGATCTGCTCATATTGTCTACTAAGATGAATAGTTACAAAATGTGTATGCCAAATGTGGCTGTCACAACGACTTGCTTGTGGATGAAGAACATACGTATAATAATAAAAATCGTTCAAAAATGCGCTGAAAAATTTCGTTAGGTACACATGTGTAACCGATCAATAAAACGAAAAAGATGGTTAATCTTTTAAAAAATTCAATCGATTCAATAATATTTTTAATGCTAGTTGTTTTTATTTGAAAATTTAAATCTTAGTCATTTTCATGATATTTAAGTTTATTTTTAAACTAAATTTTTAAACTGCTTATAGACAAACAAACGAACAAATATGACTGTTGTTTATGATGATGAGTTATCTACTAGACAACGAGTAATAACAATCATTGTAATTTTATTATTATTTATTATTGGTTGTGAGTTGTTGTTTATTATTGTTGTACTTACATTAGTAAAGAAAAAAGATTCAGGTGAGATACACATACTTCTAAGTTTAATAATCTTCATTTACACGAAAAGTCCACAAGTATCTTACATGAGTCAGATTTAAATTTTTTCTTCATGGATTAAATCAGCAAAGCCCGTTTTTTAAATTTTCTGGGTGTTCATGTAACTGCAGAAAAAAACGATAACTTTTATGTTTCAATTGATATAAAAGACCACCAAAAAATTAGCTTTCTTGTTTTTAGAAGTGAATAAGCCACACAATAAATATTGGATCATACCCATTTTAATTCCTATTGCTGTTGCATGTATTTACATGAGTATTTTAACCATAATTTTGCATTGTTTACGCAAAAGCGAACGTATTATCGTAAAACGACGTAGTCTTTTCAATTATTCCGGAGAATTTCGTTCACCCGTACCACCTTCTGTTACACCAACACCTCACACAGTTTTAAGTTCGCCAACGAACACATCAGAAATGACGGTTCAAATGGAACCCGAGCGAGTATCAACACTGATTGAATTACAAAAAGCCCAAATAATCTCAATTTTTGATGATGGTAAAACTAAACCATCGCGAAAAACGGACGACATCAAAGATACTGAACAAATGGACGTACACACTTCATCATCGGTACCGGTACCAGATATTAAGAAAAAATCCGTTATTCAAGAAAAATTACACAAATCTATTGTCAAAGCCCAACAAACTTTACCTGATGCACACGCATTTAACAAACGAGTGGAAAAAAAATTACATGGTAGACAAGTGCAAAATTTAGTGTTGGAAGAAGAATAAACTACTTTGCATTACTACACAAAGTTTCGTCCCTGCTATTTTTCTATTGAAAATATGTTTTTTTTAATAATAACCAAAAACGTAATATGTGGTGAATATCAGCGAAAAGTGCATTTTTTGTGCAAGTATGCATTTGCCGAAAATATCTTGACATAGAAATAAGTTAAAAATCAACTTACTTTTCATTGATATTTTTATTTTCGTATAGAAATTAATCTTGAGATTGAAAATGGTTGAATTATATCATTATCAAACATTCTAATCGTCAATCTCAATCTAAACCAACAAGAGATGTACAAAGTTTCGTCGCCTATGTCTTTATCAATTTTTTTACTAGAAAGGACGGGGGACGATAAGAGCCAAAATCGGCTCACGCTCAAATCAGTCTAGTGTTAACTCATCTGATGCAGCTTTTGTCCGCGATCAACGCTAGCATATTTTAGACCTTAAAAATCCTTTTCAGCGCCTATGGAAACATTTTAGCAAAAAAGACTCTCCTCGCATTAAACGACAAAGTATTTACATTATTCGACCTCTTTCACCTAGACCAAATATCAACTATTATACACCGTTCGATAGAGAATTTCACGGACTACAAAATGATATCTAAGATGGTCTTAAGGAAATGTAACTGGGTAGTCTAAGGTCCGAAATACTCCCTAGCATCCCAGCAAACTGGTATCCAAGCAAAAACGACCCAATTTTTTGGGTTATTTATCAAAATTCAGCTCCACGTACATCTAGATGCACGTGGAGCTGAATCTAGACAAATAACGCAAAAATTGGGGCGTTTTTGCTCGGGTAGGTCAACGTCGTTCATGTCTGTAATAATGACTAATTTTCCCGTTATATTGTAAGAATGCCTTGAAAGATCTGGCGTTTCCAGCGACAAAAATCGATTTTTTTGGAAATCGCTCAAAACATGTTCGTAGATAGAGTTGAGTGCCCTAAATAAAATGGGATCTATCCGGGTTGCTCAAAATGTTTCTTTCAATCGGTTTCGCGGCTTGTCCACGTAACGCGACACTTCGGTAATTAAGTATTTTTTTCAAAAGTAAACAAAACCGTTTATGCCCGGTTGTAGAGCATAGTCGAAAGTTATAAAATAGAAAAATGGTCATAACTTTTGAACGAAGAGCGATCGGCACAAATTATTTTTAGCTTTTTATAAGCTCGATATCCCCTAGCGATTGATGTATGAACAAACGCAATCAGAGTCAGACACGTCTGTAGGTTTCCTAGTCAGCTGAACGACAAGGCCCTCCTTCTAACACTGCCGACCAAATCGGACGTTTAACAGTACCTCTGATTCCATCCACAACTTCTTTACCGTGTGAAGTGGCAAAAAAAGTTGGCTCAAAGCGAGTTTAAAGTCTGTATGAGTGTTCTTCCTTGTTTGTACTATCGAACAACCAGTCAATCACAAAATAGAAAAACCACGAACAATCATGTTTTTGTCACAGCGTTACCGCTATCTGCCTCCAGATGCAAGTTTTTGAGGAAAACAATAGTGCATTAGAATCGTCGTGAAAAGTTGGCTGTAGTCCACTATTTTTAAAATGAAACTGTGAATGTCGTTTACTAAACTTTTTAAAAAAACGTCTTTTGGTAACGCTGTGACAGACGAAATTATCAAGTGTTGTTTTGCCTGTGTCTCAGTGAGGAAGAAACGAAAAGACTTCATTCTAGCGTCAAAAGAAAGGCCGTACTCGATAGTCTAGATATCATTTCTTATCTTGTGTTTTGAGCAAAACAGGAAGTCGCACTATCAATTTGAAAAGAAGAACACAAAAGATGTGACGAACAAGATGATTCGTTCTAGTTACTGCGCACTCTATGACGGCTTACTGGACTCGAAAAAAAAGAAAATACATTTTCTGACACTTTCAACTATGCATTCTTCACCAGTTCCATTCCGTTGTTGGTGACATCATCGTCAGAGGAGCAGTACTGTGGCGAAAGGAGATTGTCATGTGGTGCCATGGAACATCTAGGAGACACATGAATAGTCTTCTGCTCGGCATTAGCTTCGTCATCATCCATTCAATTCTTGGTGATCCGTTCATCGTCAGAGGAGCATTGCTGTGACTAAAGTGAAATGTCATGTGGTACGATGGAACATCTAGGGGATAGATGAATACTATAATGTTGATTGGCATTCTTGGCTAGATTCATCATTATTGATTCACAACAGTTCATAGACCTTTAGACAGGGTAAGGTAAGGTGAGGGTCTGGAAAGAAAAGCTGAGAAGTTCAGAGAATGTTAGATAGGGTGAGGTAAGCCAGGGAAGCTCAGAGAAGTCTAGATATAGCCAGATAACGTAAGGTAAAGAAGTTCGGATATGATAAGGTAGAGAAGTTCACAGAACTTCAGATATTGTAAGGTAAGGTACGGTAGAGAAGAAAGGTAGAGAAGAATTTAGGATGTGCTGAGGTTAGGTAAAAGTAAGGTAGAGAAGTTCAGAAAAACCAAGAACTGGTATGATAAGGTAACGTAGAGAACTTCAGAGAAGTTTACATATGGTGTGGTAAGGCACACAAGTTGAGAGAAATTCAGAGAATTTACGATGTGGTAAGGTGAGGTAAGGTAGGATAAGGTAGAGAAGTTCGCATAATTTAAGATATCGTGAGGTAAGTAAGAGAAATTCAGAGAAGTTTACAAATCGTAAAGTAAGGTACAGAAGTTCAGATAGGTTCAAATACGGTAAGGTAAGGTAAGGTAGAGGAGTTGAGAAATGTTCGGAGAATTTAAGAGATTCACAGAAGGTTAGATATCGTAAGATGCGGTAAGCTAGAGAAGAATTTAGGAAATGCTGAGGTAAGGTAAGACAAGGAAGGGAAGTGAAGAGAAGTTCGGAGAAGTTAAGATGTGGTAAGGTAAGGTAAGGTGGAGAAGTTATAAGAGTTTAAGATATGTGGAGGTAATGTAGGGTTATGTAGAGAAGTTCAGAGCAGTTTACATATGGTAAGGTAAGCCACGGTAGAGACGTTGAGAGAAGTTCGGGTAATTTAAGAAATGATAAGGTAGGTAAGAGACATGTTTAAATACGGTAAGGTAAGGTGGAGAAGTTGTGACAAGTTCGAAGAAGTTAAGATATGGTAAGGTAAGTTAGAGAAATTTAGATAGGGCAGGGTAGGAAAGTTGAGAAAATTTAAAATATGGTGAGCTAAGCTAGAAAAGTTCAGATAGGTTTGGATATGGCAAGGTAAGGTTTAGCAGTTCAGAGAAGTTTAGAAATGTTAAGGTGCGGTAGGCCAGAGAAGTTCAGAGAATTTAAGATGTGCTGACTTAAGGTTAGGTAAGGCGGAGAAGTTGGGAGAATTTGAGATATTGTGAGGCCAGGTAAGGTAAGGCAGGGAGTTCAGAGTATTTAAGATATGGTGAGATAAGGTAAGGTGGGAAGTTAAGTGAATTTAGGAGAAGATTTTTCCAGTAATTAAAACAATCCTTGGTAAGTGCATTATCACATCCCCCATTTGAGTAACTGAGCCGGCAAACAAAACAAAACAAAATGCTTTATTTGTATCCAAACCATTTTTAAATCTGATATCATTCTCGGCAGAAGTGTCTGTGATCTATTGTTGGAAAGTGCGCATTTGGCGGATGTGGTCCTAACAGAAGATATTCTTTTGCTGTTGATGGGCCTCGACCTGAACCTCTTTTGTATGGTTCAATTCTTGAACTTTTAATAGATATCTCTTCATGAACAACTGATACTGTCCAAGGTCGGACCCATCTCCTAAATTTTCCTCATCTTGAATTGGTTCACAAATATTATGACTTGTTGTTTTGATGGTAAAGAAGATTGAAGTTGCCAGTTCTGTTTGTTCCGAGTTGTTCAAAAGAGTTGAACTTGGCTTTTTACATGTTGATACAGAAGACATATTGTTGTGAGAACTAGTCACAGAAATATTGTTACAGTCATCATGGCTTTTCGTTGGAACGTTTTTGGAAATAATAAGTAAGCCTTACTAAAGTTTACCTTTTTCACTCATTCTCCGACACAATAAACATTAAAAACTTTTACGTTGTACAAAACACTGATATTTCTAACATACAGTCACTACATAAAACGTATAATCAGTCTATCGATAAATACATAGTGAGTGCATGCATAAGACTAATATTATATAGTAACAGATATGCATAGATCAGTTCTCTTTCTCAATGACGATAAATTGTTATTTCTTCCTTAGCATATTCAATCACTATTAAATCAACCGTCGCGATCAATCGCTGATCCCCCGCTCTAAGTTGATTCTGGTAAAGCACAGTGCGTTTTTTCTCTTCAACATAACACACGTTTTCGTTCATTTAAACTGCATATCAGAATTTTTAGTCAAAAATTGTTTTTTTATTTCAAATTTTAGGCATATATCCTACTGCGAAATATAACGTACGGTAGAAAACTGATGACACAAGATGTCGAACGTTATTTCTACATGTTCCCATGCACTGAACAGTTAGCTATTTTTCCGTTGGAAGGGGCAGAGTCGGAGCTTCATAAAATATACAAAACAAAATTCTTGCGCTTGCCTTTGAACGGCAAAAAATGTTAATAGCGAACGTCACCAAAATAGCTCGTCACCAAATAGCTCGTCAAGCGGGGCAATTGCCCCGCTGGCGCCTGCCACTGGTAGTGATGCTCAGTTTTCCTGGAAATTTACTGACAGCGGGATTCAACGATTCCGAAAACATTACCAGAAAAGGCGTCTTTATTTCTCTGTTCACTTTCCATCACTTCAGGTAATAACCTTTGAAAAGTGAGATGCTTGTACGGTGCGTTAAATATAATGATACGAGTACGTGTGTGTGCTTTGGTTCTGTTCTCTGTTCTTATTCCTTGTACACACATATCACAGATCCGCACTTTCCTTCTTTGTAAAACAACATACATAATGTATGGGTCACACGGCAATGAGCACAGAAAATGCTGCTGCTTCGACTGCACTATTCTATCGCAGATGTGGGAACAGACGTGCGTGATTACAATTACAA